TAGGGTGTGATGGAGTGTAGAATGTGCTACCTCCAAATATAGCATTTAGGCATACTGAATGTTTAAAGTTGAAAGAAATTAAGAAAACCACAGAAGCAGAAAGGTCGCTGTCTTTGTCACTCTCTTTCTCTGGCCTTCTTCCACCTTTCTCCCCTTGAAGCCATGAAAGAAATTCTCCGACCTGAAAGTAGATCATAAGACCCTCATGTGACAATTGTCTTCCCTAGACATGGGGGAAGGGAATGAACACACAGAGACACAAAGAAAAATCTGAATAAATTGGACTTGCTAAGTTCCCCTCAGTACCATTAGGTTTACCTGCTTTTTGTGCCCTCATCCTTCTACATGTGTCTCCATTCTTCATCAAACCTAAGCATAAAATAGACCATTTTCCCTGGTTCCTTAGATCTTCATTTCTGAAGGGACCTGTGTTGCATAAAATTTTGATTACATAAATTTGTTAAGCTTTTCTCTTATTAATCTGTCATTTGTTATAGGGATGTCAAGCTATGAACCTTGTGATGGGAGGAAAATATATTACTTTTTTCTCCCTTACAAGTGTATGCCCCTGATTGAGAAGATTTTACTCACCATTGTATCCCTAGCACCCAGAACCAGTGCTTGGCACATAGCTTGTATTCAAATATTTACTGGACAAAAAAGAAAATGACTGCAGCAAAAAGGGTATGAGGGAGGGAAGGAGTTGGGTATGGATCCTGTGGTATTTTATGTTCCAGGAAAGGGAATAAAAACTTATTAGTCAGTGGGTAACCATCGAAGGATGTGAATTGGGGAGCAGAGGCAAAAGCATTTAGTTTAGGAAGATTAATTTGATCATAAGATGTAGGATGGATTTTTTTTTAAGTCACATCAACTTACCACCCCTTCCCAATCCAGCCACTCTGCCATACAGCTGGAGAAATGTGTGTGCATTTGAAAAAATAACTTTTAATCTTGAAATAGTTTGACTCACAAGAAATTGCTAAATAGTACAGTAAATGCTCTTTCTGTACTTTTCCCCCAAGTGTCCCCAGTGACATCTTACAATACTGTCAAATACAGGAAAATGACTTCATTACTATACTGTTAACTCAGGTACAGACCTTAGATGGATTTCATCAGATGTTACATGCACCTATTTGGGGGGATGTACAGTTCCATAAAATTTTAACATGTGTAGATATATGTTATTTAATATTTCTGGGTCTGACCTTCTCTAATACCACTCTCCTAGTTCTTGGGCTCCCATCATTTACACATGAGTAAAGTGAATGACTGTTGTTTTATTTTATGTTCTTCTGCATTGTGTTCCATTTTGGTAGATAGCCTTTCCTTTCTACACCAGAGATGCTTTTAAAATTTTACTCCACCAGGATTGACAAATCATATTGCAGATGTCCCTCAATATAGTTGGAGGATTGGTCCCAGGACCACTCCCCCCCCACACCCACACACATGCACACATGCAAACACACAGACACACACACATACACACACTATAACAAAATCTGCATATACTTAGCCTTGTAGAGCTCAAGTATATGAAAAGTCAGCCCTCTGCTTACATAGATTTCACGTACTGGGAATACTGTATTTTCTATTTGCATTTGTTTGAAAAACATCCACCTGTAAGTGAACACATATAGTTCAAACCCATGTTGTTCAAGGACCAACTAAATATACTAGGTCTTAATTATATATATATATATGTATATATAATTGCACTTTAGGTTTGGGGTACATGTGAAGAACATGCAGGATTGTTACATAGGTACATACATGGCAATGTGGTTTGCTGCCTCAATCCCCATCACCTATATCTGGCATTTCTACCCATGTTTTCCCTCCCCAACTCCCTGCCCCACCACTGTCCCTCCCCTAGAACCCCCTCAGAAGACCTCAGTGTATGATGGTCCCCTCCCTGTGTCCAAGTGTTCTCATTGTTCAACACCTGCATATGCGGTGTTTGATTTTCTGTTTTTTTGTCAGTTTGCTGAGAATGATGGTTTCCAGGTTCATCCATGTCCCTACAAAGGACATGAAATCGTCATTTTTTATGGCTGCATAGTATTCCATGGAGTATATGTACCACATTTTCTTCGACCAGTCTATCAGTGATGGGCATTTGGGTTGGTTCCAAGTCTTTGCTATTGTAAACAGTGCTTCAGTGCATGTGTCTTTATAATAGAATGATTTAAAATCCTTTGGTTATATACTCAGTAATGGGATCGCTGGGTCAAATGGAATTTCTATTTCTAGTTCCTTGAGGAATCGCCACACTGTCTTCCACAATGGTTGAACTAATTTACACTCCCACCAACATTGTAAAAGTGTTCCTATTTCTCCACATCCTCTCCAGCATCTGTTGTCTCCAGTTTTTTTAATGATCGCCATTCTAACTGGCATGAGATGGTATCTCAGTGTAGTTTTGATTTGCATTTCTCTAATGACCAGTGATGATGGGCATTTTTTCATATGTTTGTTGGCCTCATATATGTCTTCTTTTGAAAAGTGTCTGTTCATATCCTTTGCCCACTTTTGAATTTTTTTTTTTTTCTTGTAAATCTGTTTTAGTTTTTTGTAAATTCTGGATATAAGTCCTTTATCAGATGGGAAGATTGCAAAAATTTTTTCCCATTCTATTGGTTGCCAGTTCACTCTAATTGTTTCTTTTGCTATGCAAAAGTTCTGGAGTTTAATTAGATCTCATTTGTCAATTTTGGCTTTTGTTGCCAATGCTTTTGGTGTTTTAGTCATGAAGTCCTTGTCTATGCCTATGTCCTGAGTGGTTTTGCCTAGGTTTTCTTCTAGGGTTTTTATAGTGTTAGGCCTTATGTTTAAGTCTTTATTCCATCTGGAGTTAATTTTAGTGTAAGGTGTCAGGAAGGGGTCCAGTTTCTGCTTTCTTCACATGGCTAGCCAGTTTTCCCAACACCATTTATTAAACAGGGACTCCTTTCCCCATTGCTTGTTTTTGTCATGTTCGTCAAAGATCAGATGGTTGTAGATGTGTGGTGTTGTTTCTGAGGCCTTTGATTTGTTCCATTGGCCTATGTCTCTGTTTTGCTACCAGTATGATGCTGTTTTGATTACTGTAGCCTTGTAGTATAGTTCAAAGTCAGGCAGTGTGATGGCCCCCGCTTTGTTCTTTTTGCTTAGGATTGTCTTGGCTATTCAGGCTCTCATTTTGTTCCATATGAAGTTTAAGGTGGTTTTTTTCAGTTCTGTGAAGAGGGTCATAGGTAGCTTGATGGGGATAGCACTGAATCTATAAATTACTTTGGGCATTATGGCCATTTTCACAATATTGATTCTTCCTAACCATGAGCATGGAATGTTTTTCCATCTGTTTGTGTCTTCTCTTATTTCGTTGAACAGTGGCTTGTAGTTCTCCTTGAAGAGGTCCTTTACATCCTTTGTTAGTTGTATTCCTAGGTATTTTATTGTCTTTGTAGCAATTGTGAATGGCAGTTCATTCTTGATTTGGCTCTTTAAGTCTGTTATTGGTATATAGGAATGCTTGTGATTTTTGCACATTGATTTTGTGTCCTGAGACTTTGCTGAAGTTGCTTATCAGTTTCAGGAGATTGTGGTATGAGACAGTGGTGTCTTCTAAATATACAATCATATCGTCTGCAAATAGAGACAATGTGACTTCCTCCTTTCCTAATTGAATACGCTTTATTTCTTTTTCTTGCCTGATTGCTCTGGCTAGAACTTCCAATACTATATTGAATAGGAGTGGTGAGAGAGGGCATCCTTGTCTAGTGCCAGATTTCAAAGGGAATGCTTCCAGTTTTTGCCCATTCAGTATGATATTGGTCGTCGGTTTGTTGTAAGTAGCTTTTATTAGTTCTGTCGATACCTAGTTTATTGAGGCTTTTTAGCATAACGGGCTGCTGATTGTTGTTGAAGGCCTTCTTTGCATCTATTGAGATAATCATGTGGTTTTTGTCTTTGGTTCTGTTTATGTGGTGAATTACGTTTATAGACTTGCATATGTTGAACCAGCTTTGCATCCCCACGATGAAGCCTACTTGATTGTGATGGATAAGCTTTTCGATGTGCTGTTGCAATCAGTTTGCCAGTATTTTATTAAAGATTTTTGCATCTATGTTCATCATGGATATTGGTCTGAAGTTTTCTTTTCTTGTTGAGTCTCTGCCTGGTTTTGGTATCAGGATGATGTTGGTCTCATAAAATGATTTGGGAAGGATTTTCTCTTTTTGGATTGTTTGGAATCGTTTCAGAAGGAGTGGTACCAGCTTCTGTTTGTATGTCTGGTAGAATTGAGCTGTGATTTCATCTGGACCTGGGCCTTTTTTGGTTGGTAGGCTATTAATTGCTTCCTTAATTATTTTTAAACTGGTACATTATTTCTTTCTCTTGGTCACTTATCGACTTAGAACTCCTTTATATCCTTTCTGATAGTAAAATATTTCTGCAAGATTGTTAACAGGATTCAAAGTTTTTCCTTTGCCTACCCAGCCTTACTACTTTGAAATATATTTCTTGTAAGTACCTTACCAGTAACTTCAGGATTGAGAAGGGTGCCCAGTTAAAGGAGATCAGTCATTTAAAGTCCAACTTTGTGTTCGTAAGTTCTTATTCATTCTTTGTGACTTTTAAAGATATTCTGATAACCATACTATTTTACTAAAAGCTGACTTTCTTAGTTTTTATATATTGTCGGATATATTTAACATGATTTACAAGCCTTCCAAAACAAATAGTTAAAATTAAAATCTTATGTTTTAATTATTGCAGCTGTGCTGTATGTATAATTTTTTTTAAGGATAGGGTCTCACTGTGTCACTGTATTTATGTATGTGCTCTATGTAGATAGATGTGCTATATATACTTCATATACTTATATGTTGCTGATATTTAAGATAGTAATTGATGTTACTTCATAGGTTTTTGAATTAATATGCATGCCTAGGTGTGAAGTTGAAGAAAAACCAAACTGTGTCTGAATGTACTTGATATATTTCTTACAGGTTCTGAGTTCTGTTCGCACAGAATGGGACCCACTGGATGTTTGCTTTGGAGCCAAACAGCATTATCAGGGTGTTCACAGTGGAGAACTCCATCAGTGTAGACAAAGAGCCCATGGCTGACAGCTGCATCTATGAATGTGTTCAGAATAAAATCCAGTGTGTGTCTGTCACCAGAATACCACTAAAATCAAAGGCCATCAGTTGTTGCAGGAATGTTACTGAAGACAAACTGATTCTGGGCTGCGAAGATTGCTCACTAATTCTTTATGAAACTCACCGTAGAGTGACTTTCTTAGCACAGACTGAACTTTTGCCTTCATTAATAAGCTGCCACCCAAGTGGTGCCATTCTGCTAGTTGGCAGCAACCAAGGGGAGTTGCAAATTTTTGATATGGCTCTCTCCCCTATTAACATCCAGCTGTTGGCTGAAGACCACTTACCCAGGGAGACTCTGCAATTCAATAAAGTATTTGATGCTTCCAGCAGTCTTGTTCAAATGCAATGGATAGCTCCTCAGTTTTTTTCTCGGAAGGCTGAAGGTAGTGATATCTGTGATCTCCTCTTCCTCAGGTTTGAAAGAGGACCTTTGGGTGTACTGTTGTTTAAACTAGGTAAGTTAAGGAAAGTCGTAAGTAAAGTGTTTATGATAGTGACATAATTAAGGCAATAAAACTTTTCTTCTGAAGTAGATTATTCTATTTGTCATCCCATAAATATGTTTGCCCTTTAAATATCCATATAGTTTTCTTTTGTGGTTGATTTTCTAACTGCCAAAGGAACATTAGATATTGAAGAATTTGGAAAGTACATTAATTGTCAATCATGATGCTTCAAAAACCCAAACTTTTACATTCGATACTCTCTAAAATAACTGCACTACTAAATAATTACTTGAGCAATAGATATGTGAATACTTTTAAAGGACTTACTTTGTCCATTGAAAAATTCTATGTCGTAGAAATGGAATAATTTTTCTATAAACATTATTTTAGATTATTGGTGTCTGTCGGTTCCCAGACTGGCATTGTGTGAAACAAGTGTTTTAAAATAAGAGAAAGCAGGTATTTACAGCTAGTGCTCGACTTACGACCATGATTGGTTCCAACAGACAGGTCGTAACACGATTTGGTTGTAAGTTGAGTAGGCTACATGTACAGTTCTGTGAAATGATGTTATAAAAATCTTTAAGTCATATTTTATCATAATTTTCTTTCGTTACTGTTATATAGCATAATTTTCTTTGTTCATTTTATGCCATTTGTATCATCTCTACACCATCTTGTTTCTTATTTTTACATTTGTCAGGTTTAAGTAAAACACTCCATTACCAGTACAACTGGTTTAGTATTTGTAAAACATACAAAATTACAAAATACAGGGGCATACAAACATACAAAATACAGGAGTAAAAAATACCATAGGAAACATTTTCCCAATTGCAAAACATATCAAAATATATAAACATGTACGAAACATTTTATTGGCCACTGGTGCTTGGCTACAGATCATTGATGTCATCATCTGAGGTAGCAGTTGGGGTTACCGGAGTTGGTTTTTCATAAACATGGTGAGCTTTGTCTGAATTGTATGTTTCTTTTTTTCTTCATAAATTTCACAATACTGGACGAAACACATCGTGCGCCATCCTCCATTCAATCCTTGCAAATTGTTCGATGTTTGAGTCCATTGCTTCGAAATGTATAAGAAGTTTATTCAGTAAGGATAAACCGTCTGATAATCCCTTAGTGGTGAACTTTCTTTCTGGCTCCTCCTCCTCTTTCTCTGCTTCTCTTCTTTCTTCTTCCGCCACTTTTTCTTCTTTCAGTTCGATTAGCTCTTCATTTGTAAGTTCTCTGGATTCTTTGTTTAGCAACTCTTCAACATCTTCCATTTCACACTCCAAAGAAAGGTCTTTAGCGAGTATTACTGTATTTTCCCAAATCGTTTTGAGTTCATGTTCACTGTCAAATCCATCAAAATCATTAACATAGCGCTTAACACAATTTTTCCAGATGCCATTCATGCACTTTGTCATCACAGTCTCCCAGGCGGTAGGGATATTCTTCATACACATCAAAATGTTGTAGTGTTTCCAAAAATCTCGCAATGTTAGTTTTGAGACAGCATCTATAACGATAATGCTTGAGCGAAAGTGGTTCGGAGATAGTTGGCCTTTAATGTAGTAATCGAACCTTGGTCCATAGGCTGGATGAGTGGAGTCATGTTTTGCGGAAGAAAAACAAATTTTACATCTAGATGGAGATCACCTAGATGTGGTGGGTGTCCAGGCGCATTATCGAGTAGCAATAAAATCTTGAAAGGAATATCTTTCTCCAAACAATATTCTTGAACTTGAGGAATACAACAGTTCATAAACCAGTCTTCAAACAATCCTTGTGTCATCAATGCTTTACGTTGAGAATGAAAGTAGATGGGCAGTGTGTGCTTGTTAATATTCTTTAATGCACGCGGGTTGTCTGAGTGATAAATTAAGAACGGCTTCAGCTTAAACCCTATGATGTTCCTGCCAAGCAGCAGAGTTAGCCTATCCTTAAATACTTTAAATCCCGGCATGCTTTTGGCCTCTTTGTGAATATAAGTGCGTGCTGGCATCTGTTTCCAAAATAATCCAGTTTCATCAACATTGAAAATATGTTCTGCTAGATATCCCTCATCTGTAATTAATTGATCCAGACTGTCAACAAACTTACATGCTCCTTCCTCATCCGCACTCGCTGCTTCTCCAGTCACTTGAACACTATGCATTTGGAATGTTTTCTTGAATCTCTGGAACCAGCCAGTGCTTGCTACAAATTCTTGACTGTAATCTTCTCCAGCACACTCCTACAGAGTCTGAAATATACTTCTCGCCTTCATCTGCACAGTAAAAAGACTTAATGGTGTTTGTTTTTGAATTTGATCTTCCATCCAAATATATAGCAATTTCTCCATTTCATGGATGGGCCCACTTCGTTGCTTTGTATAACTGTTGATCGCATGGGTGCAGAACCTTTCACAGCTTCACAAATTCTTTATCTTTCAAAATCGTCGACACAGTCAAGTGTGATAACTTCGTATCATGTGCAATCACATTCACTTTCTTTCCTCCTTCGTACTGCTTAATTACCTTCATTTTCGTGTCAAGATCAATGGCCTTTCTTTCCTTCTTGGCAGGCTCAGGCGTAGACAAAGAAAATTTCCTCTTGGTAGACATCTTGGAAGGGGTTTGATGAAAAATATCCAAGACACAAAACACAAATTGCTGTACCGAGTCTGGGATAACAGTTGAAATGTTGCACATGGAAATGGTAGTGCTGCCGGAAGCTGGTCCGCACTGTCGTACGCCCAGCTGGGCAACATTTGCGCTGCCAGACACGGAGCAGTCGTGGCTGGCAATTGTGGTCGTAAGGTCAAATGGTTGTAAGTTGCATAGATCGTAAGTCGATCAATACCTGTAGTTAGAAATTGCTGAAGATATTTCTACAACTTTGTTTTAGTTTCTCTTTTGGATAAAAATATTCAAAAGGATAGATATTTTTATAGATGTTGATAAGTTAATATCTATAAAATTATATATTAATGTAGCCCATTTCAACCAAGAGACTTTATTTTTTTTTAACTTTTATTTAGGTTTGTGGGTACACATTAAAGTTTGTTATATAGGTACATATGTATCATGGGGGTTTGTTGTACATATTATTTCATCACACAGGTATTAAGCCTAGTACACAATAGTTATCTTTTCTGTTCCTCTCCCTCCTCTCATTCTCCTCCCTCAACTAGATCCCAATGTCTGTTTTATTCTTTTTTGTGTTAGTAAATTATTATCATTTAGCTCCCACTTTTAAGTGAGAACATGCAGTATTTGGTTTTCTGTTTCTGCATTCATTTGCTAAAGATAATGGCCTGCAGCTCCGTTCATGTTCCTGCAAAAGACATGATCTTGTTCTTTTTAATGGCTGCATAATAGTCCATGGTGTCTATGTACCACATTTTCTTTATCCAATCTGTGATTGATAGGCATTTAGGTTGATTCCATGTCTTTGCTATTGTGAATGGTGCTGCAACAAACATTTGTGTGCATGTATACTTATGGCAAAATGATTTAAATTCCGCTGGGTATATACCCAGTAATGGCTTTCCTGGGTCAAATGGTAGTTCTGCTTTTAGCTCTTTGAGGAATTGCTATATTGCTTTCCACAATGATTGAACTAATTTACACTCCCCCCCTCACAGTGTATAAGTGTTCCCTTTTCTCCACAACCTTGCCCGCGTCTGTTATTTTTTGACTTTTTAGTAATAGCCATTTTGACTGGTGTGTGATGATATCTCATTGTGGTTTTGACTTGCATTTCTCTAATAATCAGTGATACTGAACTTTTTTTCATATGCTTCTTGGTCTCATGCATGCCTTCTTTTGAGGAGTGTCTGTTCATGTCCTTTGCCCACTTTTATTTTTATTTTACTTTAAATTCTGGGATACATGAGCAGAATGTAGAAGTTTGTTACGTAAGTATATGTGTGCCATGGTGGTTTGCTGTACCTATCAACCTGCATCTAGGTTTTAAACCCTGCATGTATTAGGTGTTTGTCCTAATGCTCTTCCTCTCCTTACTCCCCCACCCCCAATAGGCCCCAGTGTGTGCTGTTCCCCTCCCTGTGCCCATCCATCGATTGTTCAGCTTTCACTTATGAGTGAGAATATGTGATGTTTGGTTTTCTATTCCTGTGTTACTTTGCTGAGGATGATGGGTTCCAGCTTCATCTATGCCCTGGCAAAGGCCATGATCTCATTCTTTTTTATGGCTGCATAGTATTCCATGGTGTATATGTACCACATTTTTTTAATTCAGTCTGTGATTGATGGGCATTTGGGTTGGTTGCATGTCTTCGCTATTGTAAATAATTTTGTAATAAACATGTGTGCATGTGTCATTATAGTACAATGATTTATATTCCTTTGGGTATATATTCAGTAATGGGATTGCTGGATAAAATGGTATTTCTGGTTCTGGATCCTTGAGGAATCATCACACTGTCTTCCACAATGTTTGAACTAATTTACTCTCCCGCCAACAGTGTAAAAGTGTTCTATTACTCCATAGCCTCACTAGCATCTATTGTTTCTTGACTTTTTTTTTTTTTTTTTTGAGACAGAGTCTCAATCTGTCACCCAGGCTGGATTACAGTACCGTGATCTGAGCTCACAGCAACCTCCGTCTCCTGGGTTCAATCGATTCTCCTGCCTTGGCCCCCCTGAGTAGCTTTGATTATAGGCATGTGCCACCACACCTGGCTAATTTTTGTATTTTTAATAGAGACAGGGTTTCATCAGTTTGCCTAGGCTGGTCTCAAACTCCTGACCTGAAGTGATCTGCCTGCCTCGGCCTCCTGAAGTGCTGGGATTATAGGTGTGAGCCACCACACCCAGCCTCTTGACTTTTTAGTAATTGCCATTGTGGCTGGTGTGAGATGTATCTCATTGTGGTTTTGATTTGCATTTCTCCAATGATCAGTAATGATGAGCTTTTTTTCATATGTTTGTTGGCCACTTAACTGTCTTTTGAGAAGTGTCTGCTTATATCATTTGCCCACTTTTTGATGGGGTTTT